TAAATTATAAGGTAAATGGTATAGAACTTGAAGTATCTGCACAGGAAAAAGATTTGGGGGTTATTACCCATAGCTCCCTGCTTTGGAACGAACAGATCAAAGCATGTATTGCTAAGGCAAATCGTATGATTTGTTGGATTGTAAGGAATTTAGTTATTAGAGAAAAGGTTGTTATGATTGCTATATATAAAGCTTTAATAAGACCTCATCTTGAGTATTGTGTCCAATTGTGGAATCCACCTGCGGCTCATGGAAGTTGGGGGACTGTTTTGGAGCTGGAGAGCGTCCAGAGGCGGTTTACCCGTCTGATTGATGAGGTGGGTACTCTTCCTTACAGCCGCGCCGTAGACTGGAAATCCTCAATTTGAAAACGCTGGCAGAGCGGCGAATACGTGGGGACCTTATTGAAGCTTTTAAGGTTATTAATGCTATGACTGATTATGGTTCAGACTTGTTCAGACCAAGCAGATCAGGTCTTAATCTGGTTTCATCCAATAGATGTAGTAAAAGTGTGACAAAGGTCAAGAATATCCAGAAGTCTTTTCTCCCGGAGCGAGTTATTCCATATTGGAACAAACTCCCTCCGGACGTCAAGAACTCTGTGACAGTTTTAGGTTTTAAAATTAAATTAGAAGGATATAAGATAGATATGATTTCTAAAAGTATTACAAATGATTGCTTTTTTTGGAATGTTTCTAATGAAGTTTTAGTAAGAATTGAGGGAGCCAGTTATGTCAGTAATAAAGAGAAACATAACAATTATCTTTGGTTCCATCCTTATGTGGCAAAGAAGCGTTTTATAAATCTTTATTCCACTGGGAAGTTTTTAAAATAGGATAATGTTTTTGATGAAATTGTTTTTAAATATTGTATTTGATAATTAATTAATGTTGGTGGGGAAATATTTATTATATATTTTTTCACACAGTGCGATGATAGTTTGTAGACATGTGTGATGATGTGATGTCATAAATTTTACTTTACTTTTACTTTATTGCTCCTGTGGTCATGAAGAACAAACTGCAATTCATGTTGACGAAGACCTTAGGGACCAAGCCTCATATCTTCTCAGTGTTGGTAACGAGGTCTCCAGTCTGGAAGATCTGGGTACTCCACACTTATAATAATAATTACAACATTTATAAACCGCCTTATAGCTAAATCATATAACTCGATATAATTTAATCCTGGAGATAAACTCCAGTGCTTTCTAAAGCGGCTCTTACATTAACTGAGCTTAGTTTAATTGAAAATTAGACATGACAAGTTCATTTTACCTATGTAAATGCAAAATCAATCAAATGCTAGAGAAAAGAAGTATGTTTTAAGTTTGGTCTTGAAAGATATATCTGACTCAGCTGATCTTATGTCGTATGGCAAGGAATTAAATACTTTAACTGCACAGTGACTAAAAGCTTTCTCTGTGTTTACATAGTTAGGAGAGGGCGGAAAACTAAGGTAAAAATAATCATTATCAAGACGTACATTTTTAAAACTTTGCTGCCTAGGAGATATCAACTCTTTTAAGTAAGGAGGAGCTATATTATTTAAACACTTGTAGGCAAGTAGGGCAATCTTAAAATCTATTCTAAACCTAACTGGTAGAAAATGAACTTTCTTAAGTAGTGGAGTAGTGTGTGCCTTTCTTCCTCTCCCGAAAATAAATCTTACAGCAGAATTTTGCACCTTCTATAAACGACTTAAATCATAAGAGCTCAGTCCAAAATATACGCTATTGCAATAATCAATTCTAGAGAGTACTAGAGCATGAACAAGCTGAATCTTAAGGTTAAAAGACAGTTTTGATGCAATAAACCACAAATTTCTGATCTGAATATTACATGCTTGAACCACTGACGTAATCTGATCACTCATTGAAAGATAACTGTCCAAATACAGCCCAAGACTCTTTACAGTTCCACTAACAACATGTGGCTCTTGATCCTTAACAATCTGTAGAGAGGCTGGAATATTTGTTGAGTCAAATTTAGAGGATATAACGATGACTTCAGTCTTAGAAGAATTCAGTTGAAGGAAATTGTTTGTCATCCATTTCTTGATATCAGACATACAGTGTTCCATATTGTGCTCTAGCTGTGATGGGTCATCAGAATCAAGAGTGAAATACAGCTTGGCTATCCTAAACTGCTCCAGAGATCCAAAATTCATCCAAATCTGCAATGAATGTGTGAATAATGATGACCTGAGGTCCCCAGGTCACAGGTAAACTGGCACTAACTGCTACTGAATGAAGCTAAGAAGGAAGATCTGTATTTCTACAGGGCCAACCCACGTCTAGCTGGGTAGTCTAGTCCATATATTAGACGGCCAATGCTCTATCCATTGGTATGTACGCGGCCTTACCCAGGCCTGTAATAAATGGGGAGTCCCTCTTAGGACGACCAGTGCTAGACACTGTTTACTACTGACTGAATGGAAACCAACTTAACTCTTTGGATTGGTAGAACCTGTCTGGTTACATGAACATTGGAGCTACTTTTAGATTAGCTCATGATATTATTGTGGACTTAGACTGCTTGGATGTATCACATCTCAACCATTGTTGGGTGTGTTACTTTGTTTTGGGATTTACTTGTAAGCTTTATTGATTTTATCCATAAAATTGCATTTCCAATGATATCTATGTAACTTGAGAAACTTTTTTTACCAAAACGTTCTCGATCGGGAATCGTCTTTAACTTATTTTGGGGAATATTTTGACTTGATATAACGACGTCGTCGTAATGACACAAGTGACTGATCAACCACCTTATTTGATATAGTGTTTTTAAAATAAAGTATTTAAATTTTTAACTTGGGGTGTAAATATTTTTAGGGATTTTATTTTTTTCTTAATTTTCAGATCTTTCATACTATTTGTTACTAAAATGCTCATTGTAGCCTATAATATTTAGATTTTCATCATCATCATGTATTTTATCACACCATGACCAAATAAAAACAATTTGATCTTATTATGTTTTGTCATACGTTGTATGACCCGCCGCGCACGAGTGCGCGGCTCCCCCTGTATCGTCAGGACGATAAAGTGAAACGACCGTGGGGGTCACAAAGTGAAACGACCGTGGGGGTCACAACGTGACACAAATTATGTTATTGCTGACAAAATATGAATATAAGTACCTTGTTGGCCTAAAATATAAATTGTAGACGTACACATTGACACAATATCCATTAGAAAGCAAAAAGTATAAAATAATATTTGCGTGCTCCGCATAAGAATTGATGCGTGTAGGGGCTGGAGGACGCTTGTTTAAAATTATAGATTAATGCAATGTGGCATTGTAAATATTTAAAGTTGACGATATATTATGATCTAATAGTAAATTTTACAAAGCTGGCTTTTGACCACGGATAGTTTTATATTAAATTTACGGTGTCGTATAACAAATAACTATAAACAAGTTAATCCTGTTTTCAAGAATGCGCGGCTTTGGCGGCCAGGTATTGACTTATACATAAAATTGAATTTTAAATAGAAATGTGAATACATTAAACATTAAAATTTAAAACTTTCAAAACGGAGGCTTATGAATCACAGGAGGCCAGGAGCAAAGTGCAAAGAAACTGTCACAAACTGCTAGCTACTAACTTGAGTAACTGCTACAAACTGACACTAACTGCCACAAACTGCTACCAACTGCTACAAACTGGCACAAACTGGCACAAACTGATACAAACTGCTGCAAACGGCGCGCGTATGCGTGGGCGCGATATCAGCAGTTTAGTTAGTAGCAGTTAGTGCCAGTTTACCTGTGACCTGGGGACCTCAGGCTATTATGTTCATTAACATAATAGAAATTCGGCGGAATGACAGGCTGAGCGCGGCCCAGTAAGTGCCAGTTTGTAGCAGTTAGTAGCAGTTTGTGGCAGTTAGTGCCAGTTTGTACATGTGCGGCTGTGTTTTAATTAACTTGTTATGCGGATTTTGCTGCAGATATGCGCGCCAACGAACATAACTTTTTTAATAGTTTAATAAAAAACATGGTTTTTGGCCTATAGCTATTTTTGGACAAACAATCGTTTTTTTGAAATTTCACTTAGGGAAACTCAATCATATCATTTTATATTTTCACGATATCAGGTTAAAAGGGACAGTGTACACTGGATATAGAAGTGCCTTCTTTGCCCTGGCCTCCCATGTACACTTCTAACTGCAATATAATACTAGCACATTGACGGATGTTACTCGTCTAAATTTCTTCGAAGTAGCGCGCAGGGCTAGTCCATTAAGAATGGACAAATTATATCCATGCTCAGGCGTGTCCTGGTGTTATACATCACCTGGCTGTAGTGATACTTTTACGTCTTGGTGGCTACCAACACAGCAACAAGCAAGTCTCCTTACCACTTAACAAGGGGACAATAGTGCAAAGAAACTGCTGCTGACTGCTGCTGACTGCTGCTAACTGCTGTTAACTGCTGTTAACTGCTGCTAACTGCTTCTAACTGCTGCTGACTGCTGCTAACTGCTGCTAACTGCTGCTGTGGCGCGCGCTGTCCCCCTGTGATTATGAAACCCTTGGCCTCAGGTGCCATTCCTCCTGTAGTTTAAATACAAGGTGGACAATTATGACCCTTTCTCCATTTGTAGCACTTGCCACTCAGTTCATACATACTGGTTTTCTTCTCATTCTCATATAGAGTGTAGAGCTGCGGCATGGTCTTTCCTTGATCCTCTCCTTGATCCTCTCATTACATCCACTTCACCCATTATCTCAGCGAGCTCATTCGTCAAGCTTAATTATTTTTAAGCTCTTATTTTATTATTATCACTGTACTCATCATTTAACAGGTCACCACGACGAGAGGATTATTTCATCACATCACAACCATCCTCACAATTCATCTACCAATCATCCTACATGTGGAACAGCTGTCGACAAACATCAAGTAAGATAAGTTTTAATACTCCGACAAACGGGTTTAAGAATACATTGAAAATTGCTTTACAAGAATTGCAATTCAAGCATGATACAGTTTTAATACTTTCAACACTACTATATAACAAATAATTTGAGGACCCCGAAACTTCTGAGTTATACATCATAAAAGATTTTATATCTGTCTCCATCCTCCCAAAAGAATGGTAGATCCCGATCAAAACTCAGAGGGGCTGGACTCCTCAAATCATGTCTTACAGGGGCAACATGACAATGGTAATGATAATGACAATGATGATAGCGCCAGCCCCCCTTGTTTTGTTGTGAACGATCCACGTATGTTAGCTGCTGATGGAATCTGCAGAAACTGCTCGTTTGATTCTAAAGGAGAAGTGGTATGTTGTTATGAATGTAAGAGCAATTTTCACGCTACTTGTTATGAACTAAAGGACGGTAAACGTGTTAACTTTCCTGATAATTTATGCTCCCCGTCCTTACTGAAATCTTTCAATGCTAACACTGAATCAAAACAGAAAGGTAAACGTTTTGGAAGTTTCCTCTTCCATTGTGACTCTTGTGTTACATTAGCAAACCTGAGAAACGCTGCTGATTTAAAAACCCATGTACACACCCTTGAAACAAAAATGTCAAAACTAGATGCTGACATAGACACCATTAAAAATCTCTTGTTAAATCCTGCCACTCTTCATGGATTAAGTTTGACCGCAGGAAACTGTTCCATATCACCAACCCTTTCACCAGTTAATAGTAACCATGAAACTGGTGGCTCTAATGGTGTTGTCGAAAATCCCTGGCGTGACAGCAGCAGAGTAGAAAAACTGAGGCATCCAGCTTCAGTAATAGTCTCTGAAGGGGGAGAAAAAGTTCCATTATCTGACCTTAAAACTATTATCACAGAAAATAACATTTTTGTAGATAATACCTTCGAAAACAAGAAAGGTGAGACAGTTATCACCACATCTAGTCAAGCTGATCGAACAAAGCTAGTTCAATCTATCTCCAAAAAATTTCCCAAATCTGATCTCAAGCAACCTATAACCAAATTGCCTACGATATCCATTTCCGGGATTAGAGATGAAATCACAACCGATGATCTCTTTGAAACCATTATGAAACTTTACCCTGACATCAAGTCCCTCATTGATTCTGGTGAAACATTCTCTGTACTCTCAGTCCGCAAACAACGAAATTATCAAACAGAAAAACCACTGTTTCAAGCTTCTGTTAGAGTGAGCAATGCCATAAGGAAGCTAATCGAAAATCGTGACAATTTCCTATCGATAGGTTTGTACCGCTGCAAGGTGTATGATCACTTTTACATCAAACGATGTAATAAATGCCAAAAGTTTGGTCATTACTCAGCCCAGTGCCAAGCATCTATAGACCATGTCTGTGCTCATTGCACTGAAGATCATGAAACTAACTCATGTACAAATAAAGACACACATTCCTTTCAACCCTCCTGTGCTAACTGTAAAAATTCTAATAGAACTGATGAACAGTACACACACTCAGCCACAGATAGATCATGCCCAGCCTATATCTCTGAACACCACAAGCTTAAGCATTCAATCTCATATTACACCCAAAAAAACTGGTGAAGAAAAAGACTGGAGTTAAGAGCCTTAGTATGAAATGTGCAAGCTGGAATGTTCGCTCTCTAAACAACAAAGTTGACCATGTTATGAACTTTTTAGAAGATAACAACATATCTATTTTCTTTGTTACAGAAACATGGCTAACTGATGAGAACAACAACACCACTGCAATAATAAAAAACTATGGCTATAAACTTTACCAAGTGCATCGCAAAGACAAATCAGGTGGAGGTGTTGCCATAATCTACAAATCATGTGTTCGTCTAATCAAAGTTTTTGCCAACAATGACGGATCATTTGAGGCAATTAACGCAAAACTGAAACTCGTTGATGGGTCTGTCGTCTTCTGCTCCTGTGTCTACCGACCACCTGGGTCCTTGGGAAATTTCCTCTCTGATTTTGAAGATTTCCTGGCGGATGCATTCTCAAAATACAAGCATTTCTTGCTATGCGGAGATGTTAATATGCACCTAGACAGAATCTCTGCCCATGTGAGCGAGTGGAGCACCATATTATCATCTTTTGGGCTTCATCAACTTGTCTACTCACCAACACATAAAAAAGGTCACATCCTTGATCCTGTTATTTCTTCGCACAAAGTAGTAGATCAAACTTCTGTTGAGGTAATGCAAAACATGGCCAAAAGCTTCCCATCCTGTGACCACTATCCGATTATATTTCAGCTTCATAAGCCTCCTGACATCGACAAATGTGAGAAAGTCATACGCTTTAGAAAGATCAGAGACATAGATCAGGAACAATTTAAAGGTGATTTATCTGTTGCTCTATCTGAGTTGGTTTTTGAAGAAAAGAGCTTCTCTGATGTTGTGACTCAATTCAACAATGGGTGTCAACATATACTAAATGTACATGCTCCAGAATATTCCAAAACCATCAAAGACATTCCCACTGCTCCCTGGTTTGATGGCGAATACAAAGTTGCAAGAGCCGACAGAAGAAAGGCTGAGAAAGCCTGGAAAAAGTCAAGTCTTGACATTGATCATGATATCTTTGTTCATTTGCGAGAGCACTGTTCAGAGCTGACTCTCAAAAAGAAAAAACTGTTTTTCTCTAATACTTTCCAAAAATACAAACACTCACAAAAGAGCCTTTACAAATTTGTAGACACTTTCCTGGATAAAGAAAAGAACCTCACTTTACCATCTTCAGAAAATCTTCAGGAAACTGTAAATGCCTTTAACCAGTATTTTACTGAAAAAATTGAGAAAATCCGAACATCATTTCCCAACACTACTGTGACTAATAGTTCTCCAAACTTCAATGGCCAGGCATTATCTGAATTTAGAAAAGCTACTATTTTTGAAGTAAGAGGATTGATCAAAGAATCTGGCATCAAAACCTCATCGATTGATCCACTACCTAGAGAACTCTTGTCAGAGCACCTTGAGCTAATCCTCCCTACCCTTTGTGATATTATCAACGTTTCTCTTTCAACTGGAAGTATGGAGGGAATCAAACTAGCACATCTCACTCCCCTAATCAAGGGAGATTCCATAGACACTGAGAACTTAAACAATTATAGACCCATCTCTAATCTTACATTCATCGGTAAACTCATTGAGCGCTTTGTATTAAAATGCCTCAATGAACATCTAGCCAAGAATAATCTCAACATCGACCACCAGTCTGGTTACAAAAAGCATCACAGCACAGAAACACTCCTCATTACCATAGTCAATGACCTCCTCATAGCCACTAATGAAAACACAGCAACAGTTGTAATGCTTTTAGACCTGAGTGCTGCATTCGACACAGTTGACCATATCAAACTGATCAATATATTGAAGTGTGAGATTGGGATTGCGGGAACAGCCTTGAAATGGTTCACCAGCTTCATCCGTGGTCGTTGTCAAAAAGTCAAGATAGGAGACCTAGAATCTGAAGAAATTGTAATAAAGTTTGGTGTCCCACAGGGCTCTGTCCTTGGCCCTGTGTTGTTCAATATCTACATCCGCTCAATTTACTCTTCTGTAAAATCAAAGCAATTTCTGATCCATGGCTATGCTGATGATCACCAGATCTACAAGTCATTTTCATCCGCTACAGAATATCAAGTCTTTAGCGAAGACCTGCCCTCCTGTTTTAGAGAAATTGAGACCTGGATGACGAATCACTTCCTTCTTCTGAATCCAACTAAAACTGAAATTATAGTTTTTGGTTCAAAACGTTTATTGTCAGAATTAGAAATTGGTGGTGTCTTCCTAAAATCTTCTGTCTGTATAAGACTTGTTAACGTTACCAAAAACCTTGGCTTTACATTGGATTCCTCTCTGACTCTAAATCCTCAGATAAAGAAGCTTAAAGCTGCAAACTGCCACAAGATGCGGAATATTGCAAAGATGAAACCATTCCTCTCTGAAGATCAAATGCAAATCATCGTACAATCTCTTGTTATTAGTTCGCTTGACTACTGCAATGCACTTTATTATGGTACTAATCATTCTGTTTTGAAACAGCTACAATCTCTGCAAAACAGAGCATGTCGCTTAGTTAAAGGTCTAAAGAGGAGAGAAGAAGTTGAGCCCTACATAAAAGAACTTCATTGGCTCAAGGTACAAGAACGTATTGAATTTAAAATACTCCTGCTAACTTTCAAACTGCTCCATGGACTAGCACCTTCATACCTGTCAAACCTTGTCAAGTACAATCCCAGTGGTGGCAGAGATGTGTCTCTTCATTGCCCTATAAACAGTCCACCAAGAGCCTTCTCTTCATCTGCTCCAAGATTATGGAACAACCTTCCTCAAGAAATCAGGAAATGTGTAAACATCAATGACTTTAAGGGAAAACTAAAAGCTCATCTGTTTAGAAAGTCCTTTGATATGTACTGAGTAAATAATACATTATCAGAAGATTTTAAAAATCTTCATCCTATAGCAGGTCAATTTTACGCTTTAAATTAAATTATTTTAGGCTACTAATTTTTCAGGATTTTCGGGCAACATTCGAGATATTATTCTTTTCCGTGTTTCACTGTGTCTGCCAACAAAATTTTAGTGTAGGTCAGAAAAGGAGGCTCTAACCCTGGACACCAACATTTTTTGGGTTGGCACCCAGGAGAAAGCTGCCTTATTCTTTGTATTTTGTCTCAAGTATTTTAGCATCTTCTTCCACTCTGTTTATTTCACCGTCTCTAGACTTGTATGTTGCCCAGATAATTTGACATGACTGTATTGGATTTTCTGTAACATCAGTTACTGTTCTGCAGTAAGCTTTTTTAATAATTTTGTATTGTATATTGAAGTATTCAGATTGTTTGTATATTTGGAGTTATATATATTTGGAGTCTCATACATAGATTTCTTGTGGTCATCATCTATTTTTCATATGTTTTGTTAGAAAACCTGCTAACCTTTCTTGGATATCTTCTTGTTAAAGGTGTTTCTGCCTTATTTAGTCAGGATTTAACTTGTAGCTATAAACTTCCGTTTTTAATTCCAGTCCAAGGCGAGATGCACGATCTCTACTGTCATTTAGGTATCATTTACAGCTGAGCATAAGGGTTAAATTTAAATTATTTAACCTTTTGGTGCTGTATCAAAATAACATTAATTTATTATTATTATTATTATGATACACTTGATTGGTGTGAGCTTAATTTTGCCACGAATAAGCTCAAGTTTTGATTAATGTGAGTTACTAAAATAACCACTTATCTTTCCTCATACATGCAACCACTGCACTCCAACTAAACACATTATTTACCATAGTCCACACACCATACTCCACAGATGATATATTTATATATACACACAAACACACTAGTACCGAACAATTGCCCTGTAAAACATGCTCACGATACACTCAAAATTAGAAATAGTCGGCTAAGCGAAACTTAGCGACTTACACTCAGTGTACACCCAGTGTAAACCAGTATTACACACTAGTAAATTCTACGTAATGCGCGAAAACAATAATTCTGTAGCGTTTTCATTGTCACATCTCACGTCGACGGGATTAAACGCGCGCGCGCGTAACAACTTATCTTACTGCTAACTCAGGGACTAAACACACAACGACTTTGACAATTGACAGATGACTAAACAAATGTGAGTTATGACGGACTTAACTGTATGGGTCAACTACTGAAACTATGTTGTTTACTATCTTGTTCATTATACTGGACATGAGATGACGAAGTATCTTAAGCAGCACTTTATACCCCCACTTAGAACTTGATTAGTCACGAACAATAGAATCATCAAAAACCAATACAATAAAACATCTTGATCAATAAATGCCTAGCAGCACCAGACAGCAGCCGTGTACCTTTTTCGACTCCGTGGAGTCCCTGATGGACTTTTGTTTACTTTTGTTAATAATCGGACCAACCTTTCTTTCTCGAAACATGTATCCTATTGTATTTCATTATAGTATTAAGATGTGAAGATATACTAGATATTACAACGAAATAGAGGTATACCAAATTGGCCCTTGATATGAACTATAACCGTGTTGATGGTTTTAAATTTTGTATGTTGTAAGCACTTTAGTTTGTGAAGCGTTTACTCCTCCCCTCAGCAAGACAGCTAGATTATAGATTAATGATAATAATTGTCAAATGTCGTTATAAATTATATAACAGTTATAAATGTTCAATAGTTGTAGAGCGACTTCAAGAGTAGTGGTCCACAGGGGTCCGAAAAAGCCGTACAGGCACTTGGGTCCTTATCCTTGTCACTAATCTCAATTGGATTCGGTTTACACAAAGCATGAACATTTAGACGTACCTTACAAGACGTTTTCATAACGTACGAAATGCGACGGTTTTCCCGAAATTTCGCCATATTTTCGGACCGCCAAAATTTCGGTCGTCGTAATAGAATCTGTCGCATTATTTTTAGCTTATTCCAATAATTGTGGCTTCATCGATTCATTTTGTTCTTGAAAAGTTAGTGATATGATGGTGGGACAAATAAACACAAAATTCCATGATGAATTTAATGTCAAGTAATACGTTTTAAATTTACAATAAATTACATTTATGTGCTAACATAAACGTCTTACTGGGCCGCGCTCAGCCTGTCATTCCGCCAAATCTATATTCATATATGTTAATGAACATAATAGCCTGGGGTCCTCAGGTAACCACAAAAATGTCTTGTAAGGTACACATTGACACGATATTTATTAGAAAGCAAAAAGTATAAAATAATACGTGCATGCGCGGCTTGAGCCGCGCCGCATAAGAACGGATGCGTGCAGGGGCTGGAGTACGCTTGTATGTAAATTAATGAAATGTTGCATTGTAAATATTTAGAATTGACGATATATTTTGATCTAAAAGTAAATTTCACAAAGCTGGCTTTGGATTTAGGTAAGATTATAATTTTTTTTTTTTTTAAAACCACGGATAATTATAAATTTATTTTTATTTGTCGTATAATCATAAACAATTTAATCATGTTTTTAAGAATGCGCGGCTTTGGCGGCCAGTTATTGACTTATACATTAAATTGAATTTTAAATAGAAATGTGAATATATTAAAATTTAAAACTTTCAAAACGGAGGCTTATAAATATTATTATATTATGATTGTAAAATAAAGGATAAAATTTTAAATTTGTTTCACTAAAAATTTGTTTCACTTATTTATGATTAAAGGAATGTAAAAGAAAACTTATTGTTTCATTGAAAACTTATTGTTTCATTGATTTGATTTGATTTGATTTACAGGACAAAATTCCTGATACAACTGATATGCTGGATTATCTCTACAGATATCCTAATGTATACTGATATCTGGATATTATCCGGTTGGAAGAGACAAGGACAAGTGAAACAAGGAAGTTAGGAGTAAGGGCAAATTTTCGGCGTCTACGCCATCTTCAGGCTAAAATTGTTATAAATGTTAGTATATAATAAATGCTTCTATACTAGTTAAAATGCTAAATTGAAATTACACACACTGAATACAGGTTACATCAAATGGTATTATACATTACATTGGAAATAGTGATCAACAACGGTTACTAAGACCCACGACGTATAAACAAAACAGGACGACTTCACCCTCTCTCACCTACAACACGTCATAACCCTTCATCATCAAACATACAATATACCGACCACGTAACATGCACTCTACCATTCATCAACGAGCCAATTTCCAAAGAAGTCACTCAATTTGCCCTCTCACACAACTTACCGGTCAAATTCATATTCACACCAGGTAAGAAACTCTCAGAGATCTTATGTTCATCACGACCACATGACAAACCACACTGCACCATACCAAACTGTATCATATGTCCACTCATCACAACAAATTACGACTGCAAACCAAAATGTGTCATATACAAAGTTACGTGTAAATTATGTCAAGAGCTATATATAGGGGAAACGAGTAGAACAGCACACGATAGATTTTCAGAGCATCGAAGAGCAGTCAACAGGCCTTTAACCTATCATGATAATGCGTTGGCTGCTCATTATTCAGAGTTTCACAATAACTTAGAACCAGATATTTCCTTCGATATTTTAGAAATTAACTTATATAGCACCATTAAACGTAAAGTGACATAAGCTTACTACATTAATTTATTTAAACCTAGTATCAATAACAAAGAAGAGTGCGAGAAGCTTAAGGGATTTCTATTACAACATATTCAAAGACAAATTTATACAAATAGCACACGACCCTTATGTTCAGTAGATATTATGTACTTGGACAGAGTGTAAAACGTGTGTACTTCACTATTTTCAATGTAATGTATAATACCATTTGATGTAACCTGTACTCAGTGTGTGTAATTTCAATTTAGCATTTTAACTAGTATAGAAGCATTTATTATATACTAACATTTATAACAATTTTAGCCTGAAGATGGCGTTGACGCCGAAAATTTGCCCTTACTCCTAACTTCCTTGTTTCACTTGTCCTTGTCTCTTCCAACCGGATAATATCCAGATATCAGTATTTCAATCATGAGACTAATAAACAGCGAACTACTCCGTTATTTGATATCCTAATGTATACCTACATGAAACACTGTCTTGTAGGTTTATAACCTACCAAGATGAGTATCACTCGTTAAATACCATCCAGTCCAACTACAGGCTCCTTACAAGTTTCTTTTCAAACGTGGCTTTGATATTGACTCCTAATTAGTTTCTTTGGTTACTGCCTCTTTTAATATTTCTTCATTGTTTTTACTCAAAAGTACATAAACTTCGTCTTGTCATTCATTTACTGTATCAAGTCTATAAAATTTTTGCATGGTTTAGAATATAATTGTGGACTGTTTTGCAATGTTATTTTTTCTTGTATCCTGACTTGTTTTCGTGGCACACCGCAGTGCACCGGTGCATTCTAAGTTGTGCCACTATGATATAACAGTTTAAATTATTATTATTATTATTTTTAAGTGGTAAGGCCGAGTTGATAAACTATTTCTTGGCATTTGCACCCTGTAAGAGTCGTGACCATTCCCCATGTTAAGTCTGTCCTAAAGAATTATAATTGCTAGGCATTATTCTGTGTTAAGCGTAAGCTGTGCATGTGGGCTGTTGGAAACCAGACTCAGAGTAGTGATGTCTTCCCATACCGACACTGAGAGCAGTGTAGTTAAATCTTCTTTCTTTTCTGTTAATATTAAAGTCTTATAATCAGAACTTTTTTTGTGATGATCGTTCAAGAATGATTCAATAGTTAATCGTCCAAAATACCTTTTTTTTCTTGACATTTTTATATTTGATTATGAAACAATACATTTTATTCTATACACAGTAAAACTTCGATTTACCGCGAAGTTTGGGGGAAAGAAACATCCACGGTAAGTCAGGGTTGGCGGTAAATCGGATTTTGTTTGTTTACATTATACATGTTTAAAAGCCCTATTTGGTGGAAGGAGGTGGCCATTTCAGCCATGCAAGATCTTTTGATTCTGTAAAATGTGCTAAAATTAAATTTCTTGTTTCATTGAAAATTTATTGTTTCGCTGAATTGATAAAATATGGTACTGCAATATAAGTTGCATACTACGGATGACAACTAACTAAACTAGAAAAATAAACTTGGATATATTAATGCTTTTCATGCAAACGAGTGAAAACGAATCTTTTATGTCATGTATCCTTGGGTTTGGACAGGATATGCCGCTTAAAATACTTCCACCGCGTTACATTACATAATTTTCTCAAATTATTTGTTATATAGTAGTGTTGAAAGTATATAATAATCAATTCGGCTGATCGAACAAGAAAACAACAATTTCAAGAAAACAACAATTTATTTAGTATCAATTAAAGCAGACAAAAATATATTTCATTATATATATAACTAGCACGAACTTTAGATCAGATATCCTATGGGACTTGGAGTAGCAAGAGATTGACTAGAAGGTATATACGTTTTACAAAGATACGTCGAAAAGAATCCAGGGTGATACAGGATCAGAGAGTGCAGACCATAAAGTTTACGCACCCACCTTTGCCTCCTGAATTCTTGGTTGGATAGAAATTTATGCAAACTTGGTCGTTTATACTCCAAGTCCCTTTGTTAAAAGAAGTAATATTATTTATGTCTAGAGTTAGCTTCATTCAATAATAACAATATCAATATAATCAATATCAATATCATACAAAACTATCGAATAAATTATCAAATATTTATTTGATAAAAAAAATATCGAATAAATTATCAAATATTAATTAATTCGTTCCGATTAAAAGTTTTATTAATTTAGATATTTAGTATTTAAAAACATTACAACAAATGGTTAAAAGCGCCCAAAATCGATTTGAGAGATTTTCAGTCTATAGTACAATCATGACATGATAGTAATAGTAAGTGTGTGCCGCTGCAATTAGATTAGATTACTGCAATTTAAAATTGTTTGGAGTCCAAGTATTTTTTAAGTCAGCTGCCTGTGCTTGTATTAATAGTGCTTTATTTCTCAATTTTATCAAGTTAATGAAAGTTTATAGGCAATTGCTTGTAGTTAAAAATTTTTTATAAACAGCGTTCCAAAGCTTGGCTGCATTAAACTAAAAGGTATTTGATTTATTTAGAAGAATTACCGTTAGACTTGTTGCACGGTTTGAAATGTTGATAGCCTCATAAAGGGGGATTGGGCAGTGCAGTAGTACTTGATAATCTTAGAGAATTCTGAAATGCAGTGATATTTGTACAAGTTTTGAGCCGTTCGAATTTTTAATCTATTAAAAATAGGTTTTGTATATGCTCCTTTTCAAATTGTTTATGGTCTAATTTTTGCATGCCATATGGTCTAGTACGTGCACATGTTGCTTGCTTATCTAAATATGAGTCGAGATCACCAAAAAGGATCCTTATACAGAAAATCAAAACATTCTATTTGATTTCTGTAACTCCATGGGCCTTGAAGTAAATATTAAGAAAACTAAGATTGTAATATTCAGCCCTCCCAAACGAAAGCAGTCCTATGAAACATTCACATTGGGAGGTCAGCCCATCCAGCACACCGATAAATACTGCTATCTTGGCATAATATTCCACAGAAATGGATCGTTTACAGCAGCAAATACTGAGCTGAGGGCCAAGGCTCTCCGTGCTCTCTATGGCCTCAAAGGCAAAATAGTTAAGGATGCCCTCTCTCACCCATAGGTGCAGATTTCGTTTTGAGGTGAACTTTTATGTTCCCGAGAAATCTTCTTAAGTTTGCTTTTTTTTCTCCTCGGGCACATTCGTAACCTACGGGCCAGGTAAACCTAAACTACATATTGACCGTTATGTACGTCGGTATCTGTTGAGGAGCCAAATCATCTGAAAAGCCCTAAACCTATATTTTGCTCAGGCACGTAGCCAGGATTTTTATTTGGAGGGGGGGGGGGGGGGCTGTCGGCGAGCGAAGTTGTAAGCTGTGGCAGGGGTCTGGGGGCACAACCCCCAGCAGGGTACAGGGGTGGACCCAATGGCGGGGGCTAGGGGGCGCAGCCCCCGGAAAAATTTTGCGAAATAGGGTCTTTTAGGCTAAATTGAAAGTTTAATGAAGTTACAAAAATGTATGGTTTGGCATAATCATTGCCTACAATCCTGACCGGAGTAATTTCCCCCTTTGAGACTTTATTTTGGGTTGAAAATTAAATTTATCGAGAGAAAGTGAAAAATCTCTGGTTCAAATTTGGATTTGAAGCCATGTTTAATTTTTTCTGTGGAGGTCACTTTTTTGCGCAGAAAGCGCTCGATTTTAGGGGAAAAAATGTATGTTTGCTTTTAATTTTTATGGTCCCGTCGGCACCTGAAATCGACGAAATCTGCAGGGGTGCTCTCACCGTGCCCTTAATATTCTATTTGACTCCTTAATAAAACCAATCCTGCTTTATGGCTGTCAAGTCTTATGCCCCCACTCAAAAACCATGAGATACCTTTCAAAAATAGATGACAAAGCCAACCCCCAGCATACCTTGAAGTACATTGCTCAAGACCACTATGAAAAATTCCACCTAAAGTTTATCAAGTGCACTTGAGTGGTCCTTGTCTGTCCATTCAAAAGCATCAAATATAAGTTGCTGGGGCGAAAGCGGGCGCCACCCCCTATTCTTTGAAGCCTGCAAACTTGCAATAGATTACTATAGTCGCCTTGAAAACACTTAAAACGAACTACTCTGTGCTGCATTTCACGAACAAATCATGTTGGGACTTCCTTGGTATACCAACATCTCAAAGCTTCTCACCAAATACAACTTCACCCCCTCATCTTCCTCAAAATCTAAGCTCTCGACACAAATCAGTCATAACATGAGGGAAGAATTCGTGAATACCTGGAAAGCTGCCAAGGCCTCCTCGCCAAAACTAGAATTCTATAACTTAATTAAACATGATTTCGAACCAGAGGCATATCTATGAATTATCAAAATACCTGATGTTCGAAAAAGTCTGACAAGGTTTCGTATCAGCTGCCACAACCTCTACATCGAAAGGGGCAGATACGAAACCCCCCTTGTACCAAGAGAAGAACGTTGGTGCACCTACTGCTTTTTTAGCAAAGGGCTCAAGCCTATTGAGGACGAAAGTCACGTATTGATTGACTGTTTGCTCTACTCCTTAGTTAGGGAAAAATTCAATTTCCATCCCCAAAACATTACTGACCTAGTCGGTTTGCTCTCCAACAAAACTCTAGATCCTACCACACTCACTGCCACAGCAAGAGCAATCCATTCAATTCTCTCTGTGAACAAAAATTATACAGCCTATTATAAGAGCCCAGATTTCCACTCAAATACTGGCAAGTGCATAATGCTATAGGACCCTAAAATAAGATTGAACCATACAAACTCGATTTATCTATTTTTCTAAAACTAGCATTATATAATAACATTTCTAAATTATCCCTACACACTTGTAAATAATTAGAATTGTGTAACTTAAATTATTTCAGAATTACAACTATTGTGTACTCAATAAAGTAATTATCACTTTTGTATCCTTGTATCCTTGTATCCTTGTATCCTACAGTGCTTCTGTGTGATAAAAAGACTATCATTGGACCGTTCTTTTTAGGACAACACCCCAAACACGTATACCATAATTGAGATGTGATTCAAAGAGAGCATTATATATTTTCAAATATAGTTCAGAAGGTATCGAGTGCCGAATTCTACAGATTGCACCAGTCATAGCAAGAGCCACATTAACGTTGGTTAATGACACATGGTCAGTTTCTCAATATTCTTAGAACAACGCCATGATAAGTCCATACGTTTAGGGCTAACAATGGCATATTTACAAACCACTCAAGGCATAGCAATGATATCATTTTCAATGATATTGAGCTTTATTAACCACCCATACTGATAAAATCTTGAAAGTTGAAACCCCTGTTATTATGTATTGCTTCAATTGTTTTTTAAATCATTTTAATATACTATCTCAATAGGTCAGCTGATGTCCTATTAAAGATGAAAATAGTTTTGTTTGTTCAGATACTAATTGTCTGCGCTTCTGCAGAGAAGACATTCTTTGACACGGACAACACCTTTGCTAGTTATCGTAACTGGGTAGTCAGGGATAAAGGAATCTTGCTGTTTTCCTTCAGTACATATAAAGAAAATGCCCTTCTTCTGTACACTGATGGTGGAGTAGATGGATCACAAGACTTTTTGAAAGTTCAGCTTGTTAATCAGAAGATGGTTGTGCACTCGAATTTTGGCAGTGGCACTGAAATATTTGAAATAGGGGAGAGGCTGTCAAACGGAGTTTTTCACTCAGTGAGAATTCAAGTAGGATCTGGTGTCATAACTGTTGTCCTTGATGATGCTTTTAGCAAGGAGCAGCGCTTTGACAACTCTGCAGCAGACAACACTCTACAACTTTCATCTTCTCTCTTTATTGGAGGTGTAAGCAAATTCACAACCTTTGATCTAATTGAACCAGACATGAGCCTTGAACCTCGATTTTCTGGGTGTATAAGTGGATTGAAGTTCACAAAAGCAGATGGAGAAACTCTGGCACCTCCCAATTGTGTGGAAGAAGAGGGAACTGCTGAGGGATGTGAGGCAACAGCTTGTGAAAACCTTTCTTACACAGACTCCTGCAGGAACGGGGGCAAGTGCGAGCCCCAACTTGATGGTTATGTTTGCAACTGTGAGGGTACCGGATATTCTGCAGACAGATGCACGACAGGTTGGTTCATCAATCAAATTGTTTTAAAGTTAATTTCAACTAGTTACAGATTTCGCTTGTTTGTCAGGTAATTGTTTTCTTTTGTGTCTTGTCCTTGTACATGTCCCTGGTATATTGAAATTGTGTTGAATTTGAATTAGCGTTAGAGTCACGTTCTGAGACTAATAATTCACTAACATGTACTATGTAGTGTTAGCTGTATTACTTGCAAATAAGAATGTGAGTGGGAGTATACATGTAAATTCTTGTTGACAATGTTTCTCTAAGCAATTCAGCATCTAGTCTATATGCATTATGCAGTGCATAATGCATATATATTAATATGCACTTATCCCATAAAATCATTATGATATAGCAGTTGCATCATTTCATAAAATCATAATAAAAGGTATTTTAATAAATCCTACTTTCCTCACAATCCCTATCATAAGGCCTTTAAACTAGGTCCTTTACAGTGATCAGATAAGTTTTGTTTATAGGCGATGAACAATATTAACATATCCCATGAAATGTCTCTAAAATGATGTCTCATATTATGCATATTATGCACGTGTGACTATTGCCAACACCTGGTCGGTATACACACCATCTGGACTGTTCTACTAGGTCAGCAAGTACCTTCCAGCGCCATTGAAGCTACATGTGGTGAAACTAATACCTGTGAGCTCCATCACATGTGGTCTAACTACATGTCAAATTCGTCCAATTTTTCCACATTGGCTCAATCAAAACACTATAATAGATCTTTTAGTTTTAACTTGAGCTTGGATAATTTCAACCTCAAGATTGGTGACTTTTTTTCTGAATTCAGAGCGTATGTGGTGAACAGATTTAGATCTGAGTCGCTGTGATCATGTAAAAGTCATTCTGGCAGCTGCTCGACTAGTTTCTTCCTGGATAGTGTTATGTGACAAATAAGTACCCGGAATGAGGATTGAAACATTGTTACTGTGACAAATGGACCGCAACACGTCGCTCCGTCTTTCGTTCGCCATTCAATGGTCGTTTATCAATTTGTGAGCGATTTGGAGACAAATGAGGCCTGGAAGTAGAGGTATATTCCGATAATTCATTGTCCAATGGTCCATAATATTCCGTATGATTAGATGGGTATGTCTGTACAATTGCTATATTCGGTGCTTAACAATGTCTTGTTATGTTAAGAATACAAAATTATCGCGAACAATATTTTTTCCCAGCCGTAAAACTGTTAATGCAGATTGGGAATAGTCCCCAAGTTAAACAAGGGTCTCCATCATCTCAAAAATTTCAAATATTGTCATGGTTGGTTGATCACACGATAGGTATAATGTATAATTGATACTATACACACACACATACACACTAGAACACACAAGAAACAACGTCAAAGGGACCTTAACTTTACCGCTCCTATTATCTCTGCATCTCTTTGATCTCAATCATGCTTCTAGCCAGGTAGTTTGAGCTATGTGTTATTAATCGTGCAATATCACTGTTTTTGTGTACTAGTTTTGTAGTAGCCAGTTACTTTTTCACATGTACACTATGTAGGCCGCAGGTCCGTCATATTAGCATACGATTTCTGATTCCACTGAGCTGGATAGTGCTACACTCTTAAAATTTGAATATTTAGAGGTAACTTCAAACGAAATTACCGACCCCTCATATTGCCCTGACCAGCTCCTGGCTCCCACACTTCATCTAGTTTACAATATCACGTGACCCACACTTCATCTAGTTTACAATATCACGTGACTGTTACCCCAAATCACAGGACCTGATTTCTGGCTTCCGATTGGATGTTCAGGACATTTGTAGTGCTTATTATTTGATTTGGAGCTGGAGGTTGGTGGAGTTTGATTACTAGTGTTAGTGTAGACTGCTCCACGAGAATCCCGGAGAAAGTGACCGATCACCCATCATTTAGTCACGTGACAGTTGGTGCTGTAACATCCTGATTTGTGGGGACTGTGAGGGGGCAATGTCTTCTTATAATATGAAAATAAAATGCTAACTGATTATAACGTAACCAGTAACTGTTGTTAGAATTCTTAGAATCTTAGATCATGGTTAGAATCACGTGCGCGCTAGTCAAGTTGTCGTGCGATGTAAGATAAAGGATTTGGTACATGATGTAGGATGTACGATGTAGGATGTAGGATGTAAGATGTAGGATGGTTTGCTTGAGCAGGAGGATGGTTGGGTCCTTGTGGCCGCCCCACTGACTATGGTTTCAATGTTCACAGCTATTAGTCTCGCTTATTACGGCTTATTATGAGAAAACTTGGTTGGAAACTGGTGAAGTATGTCGAGAATGTTTGATAAATTCACAACTTTTCATCCAGCGTTAGTGTCATGGCAGTATTCCTGTTGAATTAAATACCGAAAGGAACGTTTTTAAATCCCAATTTCAGGTTCCTTGCGTCGCGGAAATTGCTTGCCAGTTTTAGTTGAATTTCCTTTAATGTACAAAAATAATGGTCCGGGAATCCCTTGGGCAAGAGGAAAGAAATCCATTAGGGATTGGACGTAATGGAAATGTAGTACTCAAGTCACACTTTTCAGTGATGAGAGTATTTATACTTTATTTGGTAAAATGAGCGAGCCGAGGCGTATTTAGCCACTACTGCGGTACTCCGAGCAACATTTCAAGATATTTTACATATAATATAATAACGAGTTATATTGCAATATACTTTGATCGCTTATTATGCATGGCACAAATAATATTTATCTACTCAAAACGTCTGTATTTTCAACAAAAGATAGCTTGACAAATCGACTATTACTCAGGCCCAGGGAACAAAACATCTTACAATATTTGTGTAGCATGGTGAAGATATTGTCTGCCAGCTAACAGCTTTCTATTGTAGTAAGATTAAAATTGATTAGGAGCACCTATTGACAGAAAATGGGAGTACATATTAAGATCTTATCGGAACATGTAGACTATTTTGGGGAGCTTATTTACGAAAGGCCTTGAAATGAGGACTGATGTAAACTAGGAATGTTTCCGGACCTAGTACCTAGGGTATTAACATTGTAACAGTGATGATATGTCACAACATATATTGCAACATCTGGTAATCTCTTACCCTCACTCTCTCTCTCTCTCCCTGTTAAGAGAGGGAGAGATGTTTAAATTTGAATAGCTGTCAGGAACTAATTCTCCTGAGATTTCACGTGATTGCAGGTCTGCTGTCAGCAACTCTCTCACCCTCCGAGCAGTGATCATCTCAAATACAACCCACAACTTGTTACATTCTTCTCGTGTCACTCACATCTCTATCTGGGTGCCAGGGTTTCATCACCTTTATAGACTAGAAGGTATCAGCAGGGCACCATGTAAAATAATTGATTGGTAGAGTTTATTAATTGATCATCTCTAATCGTTACTAAGAGGGCAGATAATATCTCTAATCGTTACTAAGAGGGCAGATAACAGGCGCTCTCACTAAGATAATCAAATCACGGTAATATCTACTTTTAACTAATATTGTTATGACTTTGAAATGCGCATTCAGTTTAACTGCTAGTTTTTAAAAAGGCATTTTTAAAATAATTTCTCTGTTAAGTGACAATTCACGACAAAGATTACAACCAGTGCTGCTGTCTAATTAAATTCTGACGTATAATTTGACAAGGTTATTTTAGGGCGGACATCTTGACAGGGATATAATATGATACTTTGTGTTCATTTCATAAAATCGAGTTAAACGGAGTGAGACTTTGGTGACGTCACAAGGTTCAAACCATGTTGTGTAACTTTAAAAGTTGTGGTATGTAGAAAATGTTGGGTGAATATGCCGGAAATCATTGCTCTTTGATTCGAGACATCAAGCGATAAGGATAGATTTCGAACAATCATCAATGACAATATTTTGAATTTTCTGATTTCTAGTCCGGATCTTTACCATATATTATATCAGCCACCTTCACCTGCAGTATTCTTTATTTCAAGCTGCACGAAAGGAACTCTGTAGATTCTGTATAAAGAAAATGTGTATGTTAGCAGTCAATAACTAAACCGCAGTAGTTGCAGTAAAATCACTAGCAGGAACATTATGATCGATGAGGATTGAAACCCACTCCTATAATATTATGCGGGGCAGGAATGTGAAACCAGATGAAATATAGACTTAGTACCCGCCCTATAAAGCTATAACCCGGTTACCTGCTTGTCCTCCAGTTACCCGCTGGTAATTAACCCCCTGGCTGGTATTTATTCCTGGTAATACTGGTAAACAAGGGACCTTATATTAGGTGTACACGTGACGTGACATTACATACTGTACCAGTGCATCTGACAATATCTAGAACAACATCTTGATCTTGTCTCAGGGCAGTACCTACCCTCAGCTATTCCCCCCGCAATGATACCTACTTGAAGTATTTAAAACTCTCATTCCAAGTAATTTAAGCCCCTTGATAACCTCAACTTTCGAGCAAATTGCAAACGATTTGCCATGGTTAGGGGAAATAATATGTGCTGGATCGTTTGCTGTAAGCCACAGGATACAATATAAATAGCTCTAGCTTGGATATTAGGAGTTTAAGTAGACGCTGTCTATGCTGCAGGTCTACTTGAATACGTAGGGCAACGTTTTTAAACCTTTCACCTGTCAGCTATTAGCTGTGCTGCTAGATCTGTGCCATTAGGTTTTACTAATTTATTACTGGTACTGTACTTATAAGTTTATAAGATGGGGCCGTAGTTTCCAATCTCCAGATAGCTTTAGGTCGTCCTGACATGTAGAAAAACAGTCGATCAAAATTAATCATGGGATACGATAGATTTTGCGGCCTAACTCGATTCTACTCCTTATCAACTATACTTTTATAACTGTTCCACAAACTTACATCTTTGGTAGCACGACTGCAATCTTCATTGCCCATTAAATACTGAAATCTGAGACCTACGTTCTTTGAATCTATCAGACCTTCTCGAGGCTGCCCAGATAAGTCTACACTTTACAGTAGCACGTGACATTAGCCCACCCTCTTATTGGTTCCCCGCC